GAGTACCCTGCGAGTCTCTTAATGCCACACTAAACTAACCCCCTCGTGAAACATGACCCTGCTTTTGCAGTCCCACTCGTAATTTTACAATCATTCTCCTTATTTTAAAGATGGTCAACTTGAGACCTGACCAAAACAAAGAAGAATGCAGTAATACATGTTTTCTGATGTAGTAATTGAACTAGAGGGCCAGCTCAGCAACATTATATAGAATATGGGGAAATGAGGGGTGCCTATATATGTGCTTGGGGGGGGCATTTAAATTAGAGTGGCTCTCACTAATTAAAATGCTCACAATGTCTTCTGTATTCAGTGTCCCACGTTTCAAAATGGTGGCGGGGTGCTTTAACTAAAGCTCGTTCAACAAGCTTTAGTTAAAGTGCTCTCGCTGCCATTTTGAAAGGCGAGATGCTGGATACACGTGATGCTGCTGTACACTGGAGCATTCTCGTTAGAGCGCTCCCGCAGATTCAATTCAAGTCAGCCGGTCCGGACGATCTCCATCCTAGAGTTCTAAAGGAACTGGCCGAGGTCATTGCAGGACCCCTGGCATGGCTTTATGAGCTCTTGTGGTGCACTGGAGAGGTGCCAGAGGACTGGAAGAGGGCCAATGTGGTTCCAATCTTCAAAAAAGGGAGGAAGGAGGACCCGGGAAACTATAGGCCAGTTAGTCTTACCTCGATCCTAGGCAAGCTGTTTGAGAAAATAATTCTGGCACACATCCAGGAGGGGACAGCAGGGGACTGCATGCTTAGGGGCAATCAGCACGGGTTCATCAGTGGCAGGTCCTGTCAGACCAACCTGGTGGCCTTTTATGATCAGATCACCAGATCATTAGATGCAGGGGTAGCAGTGGACATAGTCTTCCTGGACTTCCGGAAGGCTTTTGACACTGTCTCTCACCCCGTTCTCATTAAGAAAATGGGAAGCTGTGGTGTAGACACCCACACAGTCAAATGGGTCGCCAACTGGCTGGAGGGCCGCACCCAGAGGGTGGTAGTGGATGGGTCCTTCTCAACCTGGAAGGACGTGGGCAGTGGGGTTCCACAGGGCTCGGTCCTTGGGCCCGCACTGTTCAACATCTTCATCAGTGACTTGGACGAGGGGGTAAAAAGCACCCTGTTCAAATTTGCTGATGACACTAAGATGTGGGGGGACGTGGGCACACTAGAAGGAAGCAACAGGCTACAATCAGACCTAGACAGGTTACAAGGGTGGGCGGATGAGAATAGGATGGGTTTCAACACAGACAAGTGCAAGGTGATGCACCTGGGGAGGAACAACCGGCACCATACCTACAGGTTAGGGAACTCCCCTCTTGTCAGCACGGAGGCGGAAAAGGATCTTGGAGTCATCATTGACTCCAAGATGAACATGGGTCGGCAGTGTGGGGAGGCAGTTAGGAAGGCCAACCGTACCTTGTCATGCATCCACAGATGCATCTTGAGCAGGTCCAGAGAGGTGATCCTCCCCCTTTATGCGGCACTGGTCAGGCCACAGTTGGAGTACTGCGTCCAGTTCTGGGCGCCGCACTTCAAGAGGGATGTGGACAGCATGGAGAGGGTCCAGAGGAGGGCCACTCGCATGATCAGGGGACTGCAGGGCAGGCCCTATGAGGAGAGGCTACGGGACCTGAACCTGTTCAGCCTCCACAAGAGAAGGCTGAGGGGGGATCTTGTGGCCTGTTACAAACTGGTCAGGGGGGATCAGAAGGCATTGGGGGAGTCACTGTTCCCCCGAGCACAGCCAGGAGTGACCAGGAACAACGGTCACAAGCTGGCAGAGGGTAGATTTAGGTTAGACATCAGAAGGCGCTATTTCACAGTCAGGGCGGCTAGGGTCTGGAACCAACTTCCAAGGGAGGTGGTGCAGGCTCCTACCCTGGGGGTTTTTAAGAAGAGGTTAGATGAACACCTTGCTGGGGTCGTTTGACCCCAGTACTCTTTCCTGCCATGGCGGGGGGGCGGACTAGATGATCTTCTCAGGTCCCTTCCGACCCTAGAAACTATGAAACTATGAAACTATAATTAATCGAGTTTGCTCCGATGCCTTCTAATCAGACTGCATCCGAGGGAGGATTTGATAATAGTCTCCAAATACCTGTAGGGTGGTTGTATAGGTGATGATAGATTATTCTGTGTGGCCGCAGGGGGGTAGAATAAGAGTGATGGTCTTAAATTGCAAGAAGGGAAATTTAGATTGGATATAAAGAAGAACTTTTCATTATGAGGCTGGTTGAGCATTGGAACAGATGACTTAGGGAGGCAGGACAAATAAACAACTGTCTGGAATGGTTTAGACAGAGATGATCCTGCCTTCAGCAGAGGGTTGGACTAAATAGCCTGAGATCCCTTCCAGACAAATTTTTCTATGATTCTATGGGGTTTACCAGCCATCAATAGAGCTCCAGTAGAATCATAGCGAGTTAGAGTTGGAAGGGGCCTCAGGAGGTCACATCTAGTCCACCCCCCTGCTCAAAGCAGGACCAGCCCCAACTACATCATCCCAGCCAAGGCTTTGTCGAGCCGGGTTTTGAAAACCTCCAAGGATGGAGATGCCACCACCTCTCTGGGTAACCTGTTCCTGTGTTTTACTACCCTCCTAGTGAGAAAGTTATTCCTGCTATTTAACCTAAACTTCCCTTGCTGCAACTTGAGCCCATTGCTCCTTGTTCTGTCATCTGCCACCACTGAGAATAGTCCAGCTCCATCCTCTTTGTAACCCCCCTTCAGGTACTTGAAGGCTGCTATTAAATCTCCTCTCAGTCTTCTCGTCTCCAGACTAAATAAGCCCAGTTCCTTCAGCCTCTTCTCATCAGTCATGTGCCCCAGCCCCCTCACATTGCTGTCTGCTGGACTCTCTCCAATTTTTCCACATCCTTTTTGTAGTGGGGGGCCCAAAGCTGAACACAGTACTCTATATGTGGCCTCACCAGGGCCGAATAGAGGGGAGGAATCACTTCTCTTGACCTGCTGACAACACTTCTACCAGTACAGCACAGGATGCCATTAGCCTTCTTGGCAATGAGGGCACACTGCTGGCTCATATTCAGCTTCTTGTCCACTGTACCCCTAGGGCCTTTTCTGCAGAACTGCTGCCCAGCCAGTCACCCCCAGCCTGTCCCAGTGCATGGGATTGCTCCGTCCTAAGTGCAGGGCTTTGCACTTGTTCTTATTGAACCTCATGAGATTTATTTTGGCCGAATCCTCCAATTTGTCTATGTCACTTCGAATCCTGGACTTACCCTCCAGCGTGTCTACTACTCCCCCCAGCTTGGTGT